TCACAGTACTGATTTGATTTCATTATGGTTTTCTTCATACATTATTATTATTATGTGAACTATTTTCATAAATCGTGATGTTATTGGCATTCGATAACATTGTATTGCTAGTTCATTGATCGGTTTATTAGAAAGAAATTGTAGTCGTTATTTTTTGGCTATATATTCAGTACTAGCGGACGCCGCGAACTTTGTTTCGCCTTGAAAAAAATTTCTGCGTATTTTTGACGTTTTTAAGTTTTTGTTATATAAGAATCTTCTCTTAATAATGAAAGACCAAATAAAAAAGAATTAGCGAAATCGATACAGTTGTTTTTGAGATTTGCACTTAGCAACACATTACATTCAGCATTTTTGTATTACAGATCTGTAAGACAAGTTTTCACTAAAAATCACTTATCAAACGGCGTTATTGCATTAAATATGTTATGTTACCTGACAACATAACATTACCTATGTATGTTGACCATATAAAGGTAGACAGAAACATGATAACCAAAAACACAGACAAAAATTTAAATCTCATATTTACCTGATGTACATACAAACGCAACCTGAAATTTGAACCTACTAATACTAAAGTGTTTACTTCATTCGCTCGTAATTTTAATTTCATCTCAAGTAATTTAAATTAACTACCTCTTAAACTGGACGAATTAGTAAAAGCAGGGAGACACATTAATCTCAATTTCGTACCAGTTTGTATTTTCGCAACACTTTTTATATGGGGACTGGGTGATGTTATCAGAAAATTCTTTGCTTTGTCCAGACCCACGCACACGAAGCTATACCCTAGCTTATTTGACTTTCAACTTTAACATTTCGCAATACAGTCGTAAATCGTTTGAAGATATTAGTCAGTTTAGGGTAGTTTGATTTGCTGGCTTGTACATATTATGTACGATAGAAAATCCTTGTTATTCGAGTCCTGTTTGATCGGTGACGCGAAAATTGTCATGGGTCAACCGAATATTGTTTTTTATAGCGTATCGGAATTACTGTCTCGATTGTCGTCTGGTAGAAATCGTGAAGTAACGCGTAAAGCCCTGTATTGGATAGATTTTGATTGAACTTTTTTATTTATTACAGTTTAGGTTCAAATTGAATACATTTATTTGCTTGAATTAATGTGTCAATGATCTCTTAGATAGTAATAGCAGATGTGCCTTTTTAAAAACATGTTATATCTGGTTGGCTTTTACTCATTAACTAACATTAGACTGCCTCGTTGGCCGAGTGGTCGCAAGTGCGACTGCCGGGCAAGGGGTCTCGGGTTCGATTCCCGGGTCGGGTAAAGTACTACTGGGTTTTTATAAATTCGCGGAGTCTGGAATTGTGCCCGGTATATGGCAATAGGCTAACCCCCTATTACATGGGACTCATAACATAAATAGTGAAAAGTGGGTGTTATATTGTAGAGGTACAGTGGCATAATGTACACCTCAACCTACCCCTTCGGAGATAAAAAAGGCGTGATGTTATGTTATGCTAACTAACATAAGTTCATCCCCTGAATAGTATGGTAGTAAAAGTGGACTGATAGCAGGGATAATCACATTTTAACCAGTGTTGTTAAGATAAATATAATAGCAAGCCTTAGTAACAAGTCGACTCTAAATAGAGACCCCGTATTATTTCTATTATTTTTCTTTGAGGAAAAATAAACGTTAAGTCATATCAACTAGCTCAAGGACGCCAATAATCGCGCTCAGTATAACCCTTTAGCGGGAACACTAAATACCATCAATACTAAACATAGCACAGATAACTGATTCGATGAAACTTGGACAAGATAACACAACTTCGCCATCGAGGCCGGCTCTTTGACGTAACTTTTTGAGTCTCTATTATTATGACAAACCTCTTTGTTTTGTCCGACGGGACGAGGCTCTGCTGCTTTCGAAAACATTGGCTTGAATTTATTTTTATCACAATTTCCCCTTTGTAAGGGGTTTAAAAATGGAATCTTTGGGTGGGGAACTCAGTTTACATTTTTCGACGATTATGAAGATGTTTCTGAATTGTTGGTAGCAAAAAATGTATAGATGATTTGAGATTCATTTGCATTCAAATGTTTTCATCATCAACAGCCAATAAATGCCCACTGCTGAGCAAAGCCTCCTCTCACACGGAGAAGGTTAGAGCATTAATCACCACGCTTGCTCAATGCGGGTTGGCGATTTCAAACTTATAATTAGAAATTATAAGTCCAGGTTTCCTCACGATGTTTTTCCTTCACCGTTTGTCAGTGGTGTCTAAATAATCTTAGGAAGTACATATAACTTGGAAAAAGTCACATTGGTACTTGCCGTTGGTAGGTTTCGAACCTGCACCCTCATGCATGAGAAGTGGGCGTCTTAAACCTGTCTTAAATGGCCACCACGACGATTAATATCAAATGTTTTGTTTAACACGAAATGGTCTGAATTTCGTTAAGCGCTAAACAGTCTTGCCTGTAACTCAATATCCTAGTACTTGGGTAAACTTAGTATTAAGTGCAAGAACTTGAAGACTTGACTTGTTGATTCCCAAGTTGTTCAGCTCACTCAAGTAACGAAGTTGAACATTAAAATATCGTAACACTCTGTTACACTGGTTTACTACCGTTTCATACAAGTTTGTTTAATTAACTACGGAATATAGAAGTAGTGAGATGGAGTTGTGAGCTATCGTTGTGTTTGGATAATCTTAAACGGAAGAATATTTTTTTTTTAAACGTTGCCCCACACTAGGATTTTCTCCTGTGTCGTGGGTGCGTTTACAAACATACAAGTTCACATACACAATGACACCCAGACCCGAAACAACAATTTGTGGATCACACAAAGTGTTGTTCCGTGCGGGAATCGAACCCGCGACACGTTGCACCGCACCAACCGTGCAGTCAATATATCTGAGGTCTTAGTACTAGTTTCATTTACGTTTAAAGTATTCGTAACGAGTATGCGTTCGGCACTGTGATTGGCCGGCGCCAATGAAGCAACCAATCAGAGCACCGAACGCGTACTCGTTATGATTACTTTAAACCTAAATCAAACTAGTACTAAGGCCTCTGCTCAAGTCCAACAATTTTGTTTAAGTTAGGTAGATTTCGAACGTGATTTAACCCATAGATCCCCAAGCGGTCACCGGTGACCGCTCTCCACTAATATTACATTAAATTATAGACCTTATTTCCAATGTTTAGAGACTACTTTTGTATGACCAAATTTAGGGGATGCGGGTTAACTTTTTAATATTTTAAAACAGTATTTTGTTTCTATTTTCTATCTATTCTATCTTACACTAAATATTTTAAAAGACTGCCTCGCTGGCCGAGTGGTTGCAAATGCGACTGCCGGGCAGGGGTCTCGGGTTCGATTCCCGGGTCGGGCAAAGTATTACTGGGATTTAAAAAATTATCAGTAGTAGCACGGAGTCTGGAATTGTGCCCAGTATATGGCAATATTCTCACCTCCTATTATATGGGACTCATAACATAAATAGTGAAAAGTGGGTGTTACATTGTACAGTGGTATAATGTGCACCTCTGCCTACCCTTTCGTGAATAAATGGCGTGATGTTATGTATGTTATGTATATTTTAAAAGAGCTTCTTTGTGCCAAAAAAGGCACTTGCTCTTCAGTGGGCACTTATAGGAATTGTTGATGATGATGATGATTAATGGGATAACACCAAAACAAAACGAAATACAATACAAAACCACAAATAAACTAAATATGGCAATAGGCTCACCGCCTATTACATGGGACTTATAACATAAATAGTGAAAAGTGGGTGTTACATTGTACTGTGGCATTAAGTGCCAAAATGTGCACCTCTGTCTACCCCTTCGGGGATAAAAAGGCGTGATGTTATGTATGTTATGTACTAATAAACTAACAATCTTATACCAACACTGGTATACTTCATTACTAACACCAATATATAGGTTGGAACCCAAGACAAGTTGCCTTAGGGAACCAGCTCCGGAATCTGTGTGACAGTATCGCAGTTGTGACGTCATTGTTGTACACGTCGACCCCGTTCGAACATGCCGCGAACGCCGAGAGCTTATTTAGGAAATTTACGAGTATCGTGAATTATGTGCATGGCATTAGTAATTATCGGTGCCATGGATATGTCATCTGTTTAGGTTTTAGGAATGCGGAGTTTGGTTTGATTAGACATAATGATTTGATTTTGTGTCACTGAAAAGATAGTTCGAAAATCTGTTTAGCAATTTGGTTATACTCATATAATGTAAACGTATTCAAAAATTCAATTTTAAATATGGATTTATAAACAAATTAGTGAAAAAAAAAAACATACGCAATGTATTGTTAGACAAAGTAACAAAATTACTTTATTATTTATATATATTTATTTAAAATTCTCTATAAATTACATTTTTAAATACTAATTACACAATAAAAAATAATATTTAAAAATATAAAAAAAGGAGCCGACCAGTAGCGGGAGCAAGGTCCAAGCTACCGGTGGTTAGTGCTCCAGAGACAGAAACTTTCTCACGATACGTGCCGTTTCTAGGAGAACTGCCTTCTGTATCAGGCCCTTGATCCATCCACCTAACGCCAGCCTCCTGAGATGGATGTTGAGGCTTTAGGGATTAACCCATTGGCCGACACGACTATCGGCGCAATGATAGCCGAATCTACACTCCACATGTCGACAACCTCGTGAACAAGATATTCGTGAACTAGAGTCTAGATATTTTATTTGTTTATCTTTCTCAGCTTTCACGAGGTTCTCGTCATGGGGAATGGTGACATCGACTAAAAAATAAATAAATTACTTTCATTATAATATATATACGTTCGTAATAATTTAAATTTGAGCCTTGCAACTTCTATCTGAAAAGACGAATTTTCATTCACAACGAACAAAAGAGTAAAAACAAAACATTGAAATAAAAAATAAATAAATTATTATCCTAGAAATGTGCAATTAAATAAACATAACCTAAACAAATTACAGAAAAAACAGCAGAAGAATCAAACATGATGTCCCAGCATTTGACGAGCATGTTTGAACAGCTCGGTAACTTCACGAAGAACAATTTGTCACAAAATAGTAAAGTAGTGAAAGAGAAAGAGACAAAAACGAGTGCTAATCATGTGGGATCTGGTGGAGGAAGTGCTGGGAATGCCATCGCGAACCCAGCTGGAAGAGTGGGGGTGCCATTGTTACCAGCACCCTTGAAGAAACCCTGCAAGCTTCGCAACGTGGTCTCCAAAGCAGAGTCGTATGACACGCTCTACTCCAACTGCCCTCTGGTGGTAAGTAATAGAATTAATGTTGTTTACTAAGTTGTGACGTCACATTTTTGTTCTGTTATCTTTTCAGGTTTTTTTTGTGATGGTAATTTGTGGGTGAATATGTACTTCTTCGTGTATGGCTTGACGTTGAACAGGCAGATTTTAAACCTTTTGAACAACGATCAATAGGTTTGAAATTTTGAACAAACTATTGAAATAAAATTCTCGTTAATATATGGGTAGGTACAGTATCTCCTTTCGCAGGTAAGTTCGTTCATTCGAGTACCCAGTGACTCTCTCATTGTTTTCTGGGATTAACTGTGTGGTTTTAGTCCGTAAGCGTCCGACATAACCTGCTGTCTGATGCTCATTGTCTAGACAAAGGGTATCCACGAGGATTTCCACACGTTAAAAAAAAAGGTACAGTATGTCCTTACTTTTATATTTCATAAAATATTACACTAAACCAACTTTCTATTGACACAAAATTGAAGCACCATCCAGGCAATTTACTAGTCAAATGTGTTCTTGTACACAAATCGAACTGCGTCTAAACGTAGACGCTTATTGATTAGCATGTTATGCAAGTTCGTGTTTACATGATCGGTTTAAAGTGTACTATTGTTATGACGATATATATACACTTATGATATTTGCTTCAAATTATCATAATACTATGATTGAATTTTAATATATTTTAATTTCTCTGCAGTATCAAGTTTAAATGTTACGTTGGACTTTTATACCTAGCCAACATAAATACATTGTAATTATTATTTTAACTTTAGTAATCCATTTTATACGTCACTAGAAGATTTATACCAAAAATACATTTTTAATTTTGTAGATTTTATTGAGAGTTCTGGAATGTAAAAGAAAACTAAAAATAACTATATATAAAGAGGTAAGTAACGAGAAGGCTGGCAGCTTTGCCACGTTTTATACTTTAAATGTAGTACCTATATTGGTAATACTGCCTCGTTGGCCGAGTGGTCGCAAGTGCGACTGCCGGGCAAGGGGTTTCGGGTTCGATTCTCGGGTCGGGCAAAGTATTACTGGGTTTTAAAAAAATCTCAGTAGTAGCACGGAGTCTGGAGTTGTGCCCGGTATATGGCAATAGGCTCACCCCCTATTACATGTGACTCATAACATAAATAGTGAAAAATGAGTGTTACATTGTACAGTGGCATAATATGCACCTCTGCCTACCCCTTCGGGGATAAAAGGCGTGATGTTATGTTATATTGGTAATAATCTGACCCCTTTGTACTACAACGTAAAAATAGAAGAAGTAGTTTACAAGCTTCTGGTAAGGTTTCTATTCAGCAGCTGTAACCAAATGCCATTTAGCACTTGTCTACATGTAGAATAGAAAACTAAATTAAGGAATTGACGTAAATTTTGACACTTGTTAGTATCATCCCCATACATTTTGATTTCTACTCTCTCTGTAGACAAGCGCTAAAGTGACGTTTGGCTAAAGACCCTGGTTTTCTATTCATTGTTTATCAGTATGAATTATTGTCGATCACACAGTATACTGGCTGTCGGTGAGTTTGTTTTGTGATAACCACAGTAATCGGGCCGATACAACGGTTGTGATTTAAAACACTTGTGAATATAAGTACTGCATGATAATGCGATTATTTATTACTGAGGCTTTAGGGAAAACCCTAAACGTCTTTTCTACTAAATACAATGCTAAAAATTGTTTTGAGAAAGGAAAAAATAATGTAACCTCACGCTTTGTATCCCCGAAAAAGTAGCGACTTTACGGCACTGAATGCTACTGTACAATGTAACACCCACTTTTCACTATTTATGTTATGAGTCCCATGTATTAAGGGGTGAGCCTATTGCCATATACCGGGCATAATTCCAGGTTCCGTTGTACTATTGAGATTTTTTTTAAAAACCCGATTATACTTTGCCCGACCCGTGACCCCTTGCCCAGCAGTCGCACTTGCGACCACTCGGCCAACGAGGCAGAAAAGAAAAAAAAACATTGAAAATTCAATTCTGTAGACAAAAATATCTTTCTGGGACAAACCCGCATAACGTTATTGTGTATCATATTGCTCACAAAGACTTGAAACACGGATAGAATAGAAACAAAAGGGAATGTGACAAAAATCTTCGCTCAGGTACATTTTAATTAAAACGTAATAATTAGAAGATATTGGGATACAAAGAGACAGAAGTTACTTCAGTTCTTTTTATTACAATTCTCGCCCTACATTCACAATGTTAATGAACTTTCAATTAAGTAATAAAGTCGTTTAGAACTTAACAAATTAATTAAGAATAAACTCCGCTTTTAACTTAATCAAAACTTAAAACACCATCGTTTTAATAGAAATGTTTCAAATATTGCAAAGTCTACGGAGTTTGTTTCCCATTTATGTAAGTAAGGTTACTGAAGACAGTTGTAGGGGTTAGATTAAATGTACCTTTAAAATTTGGGTATTTTGTTTTGTAAATACATATTCAAAACCTTTTTTGCAAAAGAAAACTATAAACTATGCGTTAATTATTGAACCTTGAGCACTGATTCTTGTAAATACATATTTATAATGTAAGTCATAGCGGCAATATATCAGTTAAAAAAGTGTAATTTATTTTGTCTTCTATTCAAACCATTCATCAAGTTTAATTACCAAACTACAATTATAAACAATTTTTTCTACTCACTATAAACCGACAAATCATGTGACAAAAATCCACTCGCAGCGAGACTTTAAATAAATGTCTACAGCACGTCCACAGGCCAATAAAACCGTGTCTATCCCGGAGTTAGGTGTCACAGGAGAATCGGAAAATGGTCCCGAACCCCCTGGACAAGGTTGTAAAACCCGGGGAATAGATTGGAAGTCAGTTTTTCCCCTTTCCGATAGTCCGCGATACGTGTTTTGTATAGACGGAATATTTAAGTGCCGTCAAAAGATTTGTGCGCCCTTTGTAAAGGGAGTTCGGGATTGTATGGTGTTTGGGTAGAAAAATAAAAATGTACTTCATATTCTGAGGTAGATTTTGTTTCTAGTAGATAGGTTGGTTCTCGATAAGGATTTTTATCAAATTCGATATTATATTTTTAAGTTTTTGTATAAAGTATTAGCAATTTCTATAAACAGAGCGATTCGATCGATACACCAACAGCGTCTGTGCCAACAATGTACAATTACAAAGACGATGAACTTTTTTTTATAAAAAAAAGTAAGAAGCAATCTTAAGTTAGTTTTGGCACAACCACATAATAATTTTAGTTCGTAGTCCGTCTAGTGGCGATTTTGCTAATTTATTTCAAGACCTTGTTTTTATATATTTAGTTTTTGGCATGGCTTTAAAGTGCTAAAGTAAACTGCTTGTAAAATAAAAATAAATAAATATTACAGCAAGATTAAAGTGACAAAAAAAACCAAGAAGTGACATACTTCTTTACGTAACGTATAGAGTCGTGTCTACAGAAAAGAACAAATTTAATCAACGACCAAAACTAATCTTGGTACACCTCTAGTTTTGCTCTAAAACTCTTACATCAACTTTTCACAATAGACACCTTTCTTCGCAGTTAGACTAAGTTCCATTGTCAGACATTCTCTTTCATCCAATACTGGCTGGAACAGGATTATTTGCGGTGATAATAAGCCAGTATTACACTGTTAGATAACACATTGTTGGGACTGTCAGGGCTGGACTTGACTATAAGCGCCCGAGTAGCAATTGTTTATAGGAGTGTAAAGGAAATGGAAAGGTAGTTTCGCTTTTTCTCAGGTTTTTTATGCATATTTGACTTTCTTGACTGTCATCTAATAAGATGCACCGAGAAGTTAAGCTCTCGAGTTACTTAAAGTATTCTTGAGTGTTTATTTTATGACAACTATTGAGAATAACACAGAGTCCGGAATTGTGGTTAGTTTATGGTAATAGTATCTCCTTTAATTACTTGAGGATTGTAATGTGAAACGGTTAAATTTTGAAGTGAAATGATCATATGTAGGTAAATTTACCTACTCCTTCAGAATATTAAAACTTGAACTCCGGGCCATTAAAAGCCTGCGTAGGCTGCCATTGCGTCCGGCTGATGTCATTTCGAAAAGTAGGCATGGCTAGTTCGACTCTGGGCAGTATGAAGTTAAGGTTTTACACGAGTCGAGTTTTATTCTCGAGGATATACACCATTGTGTCCTTCGTTTTAAATTTAGAAATTGTCAACGGTCTGGTCCGCTGTTACTGATATAAAATGTATATGTCTGTATTTTTTATTATGAGGTGTTTATGTTTATATTAGATCCGATAGGCTTGTTTTTTCCAAAAAATATAGACGAGTTAAGATAAAAAAGACGAGTTAACGGTGGTTAACTCGTTCTTTTTTATGGTATAAGCCGGTAAACAAGTAGACGGATCACCGGTAAGAAATTGATTGTTGGGGATTCAGGGTCCTTAAGCATTAAGAAGGTTACTTAAACTAGGATTTCAAATTAAAAATTTAATAATATCCTACTTGACTTAAGAATTAGACATCTACATTCATGAAATCTTTCGATTATCAAATCAGACATACAAACACAAAAAAAAAAATAAACAAAATAAATCTAAATACTAATAAAACGTACCTACAACCTGACACAAGCCTGACATAAATAGCAACTAAGAATGTCATAAGGAAATTGAAATCGAGCTACGAATGCTACAATCCTCTCACTGAGGGATCGAGTAAAAGAGAGGGAAAGAGTCCTCATTCCTCATATACTTACCTCCTTGGTTTTACAAAGGTCCGCCCTCAAATCTCCTTGTAATTAAAACTGTTCATATGAATGACCCTTATTGTTTGTTTGGACCTCGAAATACTCTTCATTAAGAATTATGAAAGAATGAAGTGACAAAGCTTGGTAGAAATAGAATTTTATGTTATTTAGTGGATCTTGATATAAATTATGTAATAGACAACAATGTAAAAAGTTAACTCTCTTCTTCGTTCTCCTAAATATTATGAAACCTTTAAACTAACATAAGTGACAAGGCTTTGGATGGCTGTCAAAGCCTCGTCACTTATTTTTAGAAAACTGTTGAAGTTAAATCCTCCGGTAACGTCGGTCACCGGTGACCCCCATGGCGTTTAATGCGACAATTTAGTTTTCAATAACCTGTAGGTAATACCTAATGGTAACCAATAAGGTTAAGGGGATTACTTTAGGTCCACTCTAAATTATTTTAGTTCAAAGTGGTCCCTGGGTATTCGTTGAAAGTCTAATCATCTCAAATAGGACAACAAACAGATCATTATGCTTTAAAGTGTTATGAGATTCTTTGGAGGTGGTTTATCAAAACGGTCGCAAGTCTCAGTCAAGTGAACCGTCAGAGTCCTATCAGTGCACCCCTTGAGAAATAATCGGAAACACTGAAGAAGTGTTCTTGTGCTCTTTGAGCCAGCAGATGTGATCAACATAATAACCAACGCAGGTGATATGTCGAACCAAAACAATCATTTCTGATCACTACGCTAGCAAGGTAATATGGAGTGTATGGTTAAGCAGGTCATTCTTAGATACTTGCTGTGTTTCCTTATGGGAATTTTTATTTATTGTTAACCTTTCCGGCTTTATATGGCCTCCTAGTAGCCATTACAGATATTTGAGGGAAATGGCTTTCGAATATATTCCGTAATAGTTCCTCAATGAAATGTTAACTTTATGAATACTTAAGAAAGTGTCAAAGTCGAGAAAA